TAGACTAACTGAATTTGAGGGGCTATCACACAAGTGGCGTTCCCTCACAGGCAATCATTTTGATTCCCTCTTTTCATTCCATATCCCTCTCTAGCTGCTGCCCCATTTCTCTCCTTTCTTTAGCAAAACTGGTCAAAAGAGCTGTCTAGTGGTCAGCAGGTGGTATGGTGGTTAAAGGGGATGGACTCCCACATGGCCAACCATGGTATGAGTCCCAGACGCTTGCTTTCTCACTTTCCTTTCTCTCTCTGGTCAAATTAGAAACAAAAATAATAAATAAAATTCAATAAATAATTCTTTACATCTGTCATTATTGCTCACACCATCCAAATTAATCAGTGTTGTCAACAATATCAACCAAATCTGATGGTGAATTCTCTGCCCTTTTTTCGTGAACTCTTAGCAATACTGACAGAACTGGTCACTCTTAAAATATTTTCTCCCTACTTTACTGGCCTCTTCTCAATCTTCTTTGCTAGGTTACTCTGCCTTATTCCTCCATAGTATTTAATACACTTTAAATATACCTCTCTCTCTCCATCAGCAGTCCCGGCCAGTTCTGTGGATTTATATACACAGATGGTAAGCAGCAAAAGAAAAAGGTGATATAAATTTTAGAGTTGTCAACATAAATAAGTTTGACTAGAGCTTTACTTGAAAATGAAAGTAAGTATGGTTATTTTACATTTTATTTTGGAAAAACTATATAGTAATTCCTAGGAAAAGGAGTAAGTAAATCAAGTTTTGTCTTGGGGACAGTTTTCTGACAAAATAGAGCATAACATAACAGGTTTTCCATTTGACTTTCAAGGCTCAATCATTGAAGAGAGAACCTTTACTGCATCTCATTTCCCAAAACGAATCCTTTAAAGCACCCATCAGGATACTTGGCAATATTGTTTTTTCTCAAATTTTAAGCCTGTCTGCACAGTACACTAGGCCCTTACTTTTCCCATTGGCTAGAATTTTTAAGTTCTCCAAGAGCACTATGACGAACTTAATTACTTTTCAGTTGTATTTAAATTGGAAGATATGCGGCTGGATGGACAGGACAGTTTGACACCGTCAGGTAGTTCTAGAGGCTCCAGCAGCAAGGATCAGAGTTTAGCAGTGTGGTGGAAGGAGCTGAGGTGAGACGATGAACCCAACACAGTGCAAAAGCTGGAAGACAAGAGGAGAAAATAAAAACTTGTCAGCAGTGAGAAGAAGGAAAGAGGAGACTATGAATAACAAAATACGTCGAGCTTTGCTTTCATTTAATCCTGTCCAGTTTCTTTAATGGATGGATCCCAGAATAGCTGTAAACAGATACAAATAAAATAATTAAAGTCAAAACAAATGATACTATGGCTATATATTTTATACTTATAGAATGGTTGAGAATAGATTCCCAGTAATATCCAACTTGATCATGTGGAAGTCTGAGACTCAGGGATCATAAGTTCTATATCAAAACATTATGTTATTAATCTAAGCTGGCAAATGTCAATTTTTTTTTTTTTACTACCAGTCAAAATTTAATTTTAAATATCCTCCTCAAATAAGACACATACTTCCTTCAGAATGGTAAGATACTCACTTTCACCAGTTTTCTTTGTTGCCAACATCTTGGATGTTTTGTCTTTCATATTTATGGAATCCTTTGCTGGGAGGCACTGCTTTAACTGCTACTGGGGTAGCTAAGTTTGAGTTGTATTTTGACAAAATCTGAAACAAAAAGCAAACTCCTTTTTATCAAGTCACACGAACAACCTAATATCAATTTGAAAGATTATAAAATCTTTAAGAAAACTCATGGAAAGTTTAAAATATGGGTTATTTAAAACACTCTGAAATTTTAAAATAATGCCTACAGCTATTCAACAGCAATGAAAAGATACAGAAACTTAACTTGGATGTGAAGGTCTGATTTTTAGAGCCAGAAATGCACTAACAGAGGTTTAATGGAAACAAGTAGCAATGCACTTTTGAGTAAATTATGCCGGTATGAGAATCTGAAATAGCAGCAATGTTTCACTCATGGATAATAAAGAATATGACATACTAAATACAAGAAAAATCAACTCCTGTGAAGATACAGATGCTCCTTCCTATACCTTTTTTCTTTAGGTTTTTGCCATAGGGAACATGCACTCACCCAAAAGACACAGAGAAAGTGAAAGGAAAAGTGAGAAATTACCCCCTCAGGGGATGGCCATACCACAATCCCTTCTTCTCCTGGGATTTTGGGCACTCATGCACATGTACCCGGCATGATTTTTAAGCTGCCAGGTCCTGGACTTGAACCACTTCAATTATGTGGGAGTCTAGTGCCTTAAACACCATGCCACCTGCAGGTCCTGGCTCACCCAAATTATATCTCTTACGAAAAAGACAGAAAAAGAAATACTTTATTGACACTGAGGATGAATCAGTTCCAATGGCATTTGGTATTTACCCAGCTAGTTTATCCATGACTCTCCATAAGCCTGGGAGACTTCTAGAAAGGTTGTGAAGACTGCCATATGCCTACGCACTAACTGTCAAAATGAAAATATGTAGCCACTAGCTTTTCCTCTGCTTAGCAGAACCTGAGGTGAGACGATGAACCCAACACAGTGCAAAAGCTGGAAGACAAGAGGAGAAAATAAAAACTTGTCAGCAGTGAGAAGAAGGAAAGAGGAGACTATGAATAACAAAATACGTCGAGCTTTGCTTTCATTTAATCCTGTCCAGTTTCTTTAATGGATGGATCCCAGAATAGCTGTAAACAGATACAAATAAAAAATTTAAAGTCAAAACAAATGATACTATGGCTATATATTTTATACTTATAGAATGGTTGAGAATAGATTCCCAGTAATATCCAACTTGATCATGTGGAAGTCTGAGACTCAGGGATCATAAGTTCTATATCAAAACATTATGTTATTAATCTAAGCTGGCAAATGTCAATTTTTTTTTTTTTTACTACCAGTCAAAATTTAATTTTAAATATCCTCCTCAAATAAGACACATACTTCCTTCAGAATGGTAAGATACTCACTTTCACCAGTTTTCTTTGTTGCCAACATCTTGGATGTTTTGTCTTTCATATTTATGGAATCCTTTGCTGGGAGGCACTGCTTTAACTGCTACTGGGGTAGCTAAGTTTGAGTTGTATTTTGACAAAATCTGAAACAAAAAGCAAACTCCTTTTTATCAAGTCACACGAACAACCTAATATCAATTTGAAAGATTATAAAATCTTTAAGAAAACTCATGGAAAGTTTAAAATATGGGTTATTTAAAACACTCTGAAATTTTAAAATAATGCCTACAGCTATTCAACAGCAATGAAAAGATACAGAAACTTAACTTGGATGTGAAGGTCTGATTTTTAGAGCCAGAAATGCACTAACAGAGGTTTAATGGAAACAAGTAGCAATGCACTTTTGAGTAAATTATGCCGGTATGAGAATCTGAAATAGCAGCAATGTTTCACTCATGGATAATAAAGAATATGACATACTAAATACAAGAAAAATCAACTCCTGTGAAGATACAGATGCTCCTTCCTATACCTTTTTTCTTTAGGTTTTTGCCATAGGGAACATGCACTCACCCAAAAGACACAGAGAAAGTGAAAGGAAAAGTGAGAAATTACCCCCTCAGGGGATGGCCATACCACAATCCCTTCTTCTCCTGGGATTTTGGGCACTCATGCACATGTACCTGGCATGATTTTTAAGCTGCCAGGTCCTGGACTTGAACCACTTCAATTATGTGGGAGTCTAGTGCCTTAAACACCATGCCACCTGCAGGTCCTGGCTCACCCAAATTATATCTCTTACGAAAAAGACAGAAAAAGAAATACTTTATTGACACTGAGGATGAATCAGTTCCAATGGCATTTGGTATTTACCCAGCTAGTTTATCCATGACTCTCCATAAGCCTGGGAGACTTCTAGAAAGGTTGTGAAGACTGCCATATGCCTACGCACTAACTGTCAAAATGAAAATATGTAGCCACTAGCTTTTCCTCTGCTTAGAAGAACCCAAGCCAGGTGGTCTTAGAAGCTTTGAATTTAGATTTTTTTTTCAGTACCAAAAGTAGCACATTAGCTTGGTTAAATAAGATAGTTTATATGCACCTTCAGGTTTTTATATAAATATCTAATTTTTAAAAGAATATTAGAAAGAAATAGTTTGGAAAAATAACCTGGAGAATATCTTCTGGAATTGTGGTTACTTCTGGAGGTGTAGGTGTTCTGAGTAGATTTTCATAAGAAGAAACTGTAGGAGAAGAGGGATCTGCAAAATTCTCAAAGCACTCCTCTGAATTTAAAACTAACGAGGTACAATCTTTAACTTCCAAATCACTTGATGAACTATTTGTTTTTGATAATGGGTGCTTTGTGGATACCTATTGAATAAAAAAAAAATCATTAAATTATGATAGTTAAAGTAATGTAGTAAATAAAAATTGTTAGTCAATTATTAGTTCTTTTGGAGTCTCTAAGTAGGCCCCAAATGACCCCTTCCCCTTCCCTGATCAAGTTCTAAATAAAATAACAAGTTCTAAATGAAAGAGGAAAACAAAACAAAACAAAACAAAACAAAGGACATGTGAAAGATAAAATATTACCTTAATTACTATTAAAGATTGAGTGAGTTAAAGCTTAATGGAGGAACTCAATGACTTGTTGACTAAACCTCAGATTTAGGTGGACTCATCCATCCTGACTCAGGCAACACTAAACTGGGCCAGCTGAGTTACAACATGGATGAGCAAAAGTTACCACATATCCTCAGCAGGCAGAATCACTCCCAAGAAGAAAGTAGATCTGAGTTAACGTTAGCATGCAGTTTATTCATGCTAAATTGACCAACTGGGTAAGTTACTCATCTCCCTAGGGTCAGAGTTAATGAAGAGAGGCTAGGAGGGCCACGTCACTAGGGTGCTGTCCACATGATCAGAAACACAGGAGTTGGATAATTGTAATGGCAAGTACTAGGAGACAGGTAACTAGATATTTGAATGGATAACATAAATTAATTTTAAAAAGTAAAAATTAGTTTCTCAGATACATGAACCACTTTATTTTTATTTTTTAAAGACATTTTTGCTATTGGGTGCTTGCGCTCACTGGAGAGACAGAAACAGAGAGACAGAAAGTGAGAAGTCATCCCTACCCCACAGGGGGAATGGTCACACTGCAATCCATTTTCCTCCATTCTCTCAAGATTTCTCCACACACGCACACCTGCCTGGGTTGAGTTTTAAGTCATTGGGTCCAGAACTTGAGCCACGGTCAACTACGTGGAAGTTCAGTGATATAACCATTACACCATATGCTTGCTGGTCCCTGTTAATTTTTTCAATTTGCCGTAGGGCACATGCACTCACCGGAGAGATAAAGAAGGAAAGTGAGAAAGCCCCTCCACCTCCCAAAGGGCATGACCACACTGCAATCCCTTAGGAATGCACACACGTGTTTGGTGTGGCTCAAGCTGCCGGGTCCAACACTCAAACCTTGCAGTAGGCTACATGGGATCCAGCCAATCTATCTACCACCTCATCAGTTGGCCCTGCACTAGCTACATTTTAAGTGCTCAAAAGCTACATGTGATTAGTGGCTACCATATTGGAGCAGCACAGATTTTTATTTTGGAGAGGTTTTTGCTATAGGGCGTGTGTGTTCGCCAGAAAGACGGAGAGAGACAGAGAGACAGAAAGTGAGAAATCATCCCCCAGGGGGATGGCCACGCTGCAATCCCTTCTCTATTCTCCTTTCCAAATCTTGGGCACACATACACACACATGCCCAGCGTGAATTTAAGCCACCAGGTCTGGGACTCGAACCGCTGTTGACTACATGAGAGTCCAGCAACATAGCCATTACGCCAACTGCTAGTCCCTAGTATCAAAGATAACTGAATATTTCCAATATGGAAAACTCTATTGGTTACCCCTAGTTACTACTTGTAGTCTACGGAATTGGTTGTCTTGTCTTTATTTTTTAAGAGAGATTTTTTTTGCTATAGGGTATATGCACTTGCCAGAGAGACAGAAAGTGAGAAATCACTCCCTGAGGGGGATGACCACATGGCAATCCCTTCTCCATTCTCCTCTTGGGATTTTGGGTATGCACACATATATGCCCCCATGCAAGTTTTAAGCTGGGACTCGAATTGTGGTCGACTGTAGGAATCCAGCAATGTAACCATTTAGCTACCTGCTGGTCCCAGTACTGGTTATCTTAAGTATTCATAATGACTTTAAAAAAAGGATAGGTTATGATTATAATAAATCTGTTCATTGAAAAAAAAAAACATAAAAAAATCCATAAATTTATCCTCCAAAGATAACCACATTTTAGTGTGTTTCTATCCATTTTTTTCTTAACCTATATTTCAGAGTATACATATATATACATAGTTGTCCATGAAAATATTCTTGTATGTTCTCATGTTTTTCAAAACATGATAGTTACACATCACGGATATTCCTTATTGCATTTTTTTCCTCCTCTATCATTTATTGATACTGTTCCTCATGTTTCACTCTTACAAATACTACTGTTCTTTCCCTTCTATCATCCTTGGTATAAATCTTTGTCCCAATTTGCCTTTAAAGCAAATTTTTGGGACCAGCAATTGGCATAATGGCCATGTCACTGGACTCCCATGTAGTTGACCACTGTTTGAGTCCCAGGCCCGGTGGCTTAAACTCATGCTGGGCATGTGTGCGTGTGTGCCCAAGATCCTGAGGAGAATGGAGAAGAGGTTGCAGTGTGGTCATCCCCCCTGGGAGGTGATTTCTGGCTTTCTGTCTCTGTCTTTCTGGCAAGCACATACACCCTATAGTAAAAACCTCTCGAAAAGAAAATAACTGAGACATAAAGGAGATGAAAAAAAAATTATTTTTTAGAGAGATTTTTGATATAGGGAGTATGTACTTGCTGGAGAGACAAAGACAAATGCAAGAAATCACCCCCTGGGGGGATAGCCATGCTGCAATCCCTTCTCTCATGATTTTAGGCGTGCACGTGCACACACACACACACACACACACACACACACGTGTGCTTGGCATGAGGTTTTTTTAAAACTTTATTTATTTTAATTTGACCAGAGAGGGACACAGCGAGAAAAAGAGGGAGGGAAAATGAGAGGGACTGGCAGGTAGCATGGTGGTTAAGGGTGCTGGACTCCCCACATGGTCGACTGTGTTTTGAATCCCTGACCTGGCGATTTGGCTTGCTTTCTCACTTTCCCTCTCTCATTGTCTCTCTCTGTCCTTCTCTGGTCCAATAGAAAAAAAAAAGAAAGAAAAGAAAGAAGGAAGGAAGAAAGGAAGGAAAGAAAGAGGGAGAGAAAAAGAGAGAGAAAGAGAGAGAGGGGGAAAGAGAGGGGGGGAAGAGAGAGGGGGGAAAAGGAGGGAAGGAGGGAGAGAAAAAGAGAAACTGCTGGTCCCAGTACTGGTTATCTTAAGTATTCATAATGACTTTAAAAAAAGGATAGGTTATGATTATAATAAATCTGTTCATTGAAAAAAAAAAACATAAAAAAATCCATAAATTTATCCTCCAAAGATAACCACATTTTAGTGTGTTTCTATCCATTTTTTTCTTAACCTATATTTCAGAGTATACATATATATACATAGTTGTCCATGAAAATATTCTTGTATGTTCTCATGTTTTTCAAAACATGATAGTTACACATCACGGATATTCCTTATTGCATTTTTTTCCTCCTCTATCATTTATTGATACTGTTCCTCATGTTTCACTCTTACAAATACTACTGTTCTTTCCCTTCTATCATCCTTGGTATAAATCTTTGTCCCAATTTGCCTTTAAAGCAAATTTTTGGGACCAGCAATTGGCATAATGGCCATGTCACTGGACTCCCATGTAGTTGACCACTGTTTGAGTCCCAGGCCCGGTGGCTTAAACTCATGCTGGGCATGTGTGCGTGTGTGCCCAAGATCCTGAGGAGAATGGAGAAGAGGTTGCAGTGTGGTCATCCCCCCTGGGAGGTGATTTCTGGCTTTCTGTCTCTGTCTTTCTGGCAAGCACATACACCCTATAGTAAAAACCTCTCGAAAAGAAAATAACTGAGACATAAAGGAGATGAAAAAAAAATTATTTTTTAGAGAGATTTTTGATATAGGGAGTATGTACTTGCTGGAGAGACAAAGACAAATGCAAGAAATCACCCCCTGGGGGGATAGCCATGCTGCAATCCCTTCTCTCATGATTTTAGGCGTGCACGTGCACACACACACACACACACACACACACACACGTGTGCTTGGCATGAGGTTTTTTTAAAACTTTATTTATTTTAATTTGACCAGAGAGGGACACAGCGAGGGGAAGAGGGAGGGAAAATGAGAGGGACTGGCAGGTAGCATGGTGGTTAAGGGTGCTGGACTCCCCACATGGTCGACTGTGTTTTGAATCCCTGACCTGGCGATTTGGCTTGCTTTCTCACTTTCCCTCTCTCATTGTCTCTCTCTGTCCTTCTCTGGTCCAATAGAAAAAAAAAAGAAAGAAAAGAAAGAAGGAAGGAAGAAAGGAAGGAAAGAAAGAGGGAGAGAAAAAGAGAGAGAAAGAGAGAGAGGGGGAAAGAGAGGGGGGGAAGAGAGAGGGGGGCAAAAGAGGGGAAGAGAGAGAGAAAAAGAGAAAGAGAGAGAGCGAGAAAGAGAGAAAAGAAAGTAAGTTAGTTAAATAAAATAATTCTTTTAAAAAAAAAGAAAGTGAGAAAGCAAGCTGCTAGGATTGATACTCAAACTGCAGTGGGCCATCTAGGAGTCCAGCACCCTTAACCATCATGCCACCTGCCAGTCCCACTTGGCATGAATTTTAAGCTGCCAGGTCCAGGACTTGAACCACCGTCAACTACATGAGAGTCCAGCGACACAACTATTACACCATCTGCTGGTCCAGATGAAAAAATTTTAATGCTCTTGATCTGTGCTAGTAAATTGCTCAGAAATGTAATGTAAATATACTGCATTAATCTATTAGACTATTTGAGTGTGAAAGTATCTGAATTATTAAGACAAAAATTAGATCTTTTAATTTTATGGAAATTTACCAAAGCTGTGCTGTTCTTTGTAGAAGGAATTTTCAAACCAGGAGTGCAGAATGTAGGTGCCAAGGGGGAATTTGTATACTCAGCACCTAGAAGATACACAAAGGAGCATAAAAATAAAATTGAAATCTTTGTTCAGAGTTACAAACTTTGCCAATATAATCTGTGTGCTTTATTTTTAATAACTGTCACATTCTCATATGTAATTATCATTAATACTAACAAAAGTCTGACAACAGTACAAAGTGCAAAAGCAATACACAATAATGAATATTTGTTATATAATAAATACAAGTACAACAAACTATTCAAAATATAATTTGGAAAAAGATGTATATTTATATATATATTTATATATATATTTCCTCATATGAGAGAAAGGAAGAGAATGAAAGGGACAGAGTCAGAGATAGGTATTATTGACAGTCTTGCTCTTTTTGCAATCCTCCTGACCCAGTCTCTCAATTAACTAGAATTACAGACACACACAGCTGCACCCAGTGTGTTCACATTGGCTCAGGCACCAAACCTAGGCCTTCCATGTGGCTTCTAGCCTCCTAAGCAGTGCCACTATCTGTGCCTTACCATGGCTTGTCCTTAAAAAAAGATGATTTTCTTTTTCTTTTCTTTTTTTGGAGAGGTTTTTGCTATAGGGCGCATGTGCTCACCAGAAAGACAGAGAGGCAGAAGGACAGAGAGTGAGAAATCACCCCCCCAGGGGATGGTCACGCCACAATCCCTTCTCCTCCATTCTCCTCTCAGGATCTTGGGCATGCATACACATGCATACAGTGTGATTTTAAGCCACCAGGTCCGGGACTTGAACTGCAGTCAACTACATGGGAGTCCAGCGACGTAGCCATTATGCCATCTGCTGGTCCCAAGAAAGATGTTTTTCACAGGAGTAACAAAGAGGACACAATAACTATAGATAAATTTATTAAGAAATAATTTTTGGAAAAAATGATTCAACTTCTGAAGAAAAAGGAGATGTAGGAAGAGAGAGGAAGTCATGTGTTTTCCAAGACATGAGGACTTACTTTAGGAGCTAGAGTAATAAAGAACAGTGTAACATTAGTAAGGATGGAAGAATGGAGTACTGGAACAGAGAGTTCAATGTATTTTCTGACATTTGCTATGTACAGCACATAGTATTATCATCAATGAAATCTTTTAGAAAATAGAAAAGTTAAGTATGCTAGAAAAACACTATGACTGGCAAAATATTTTAAGTCTAAAAATCAAGAGCTAGAAATGATGGAGAAACAGGAACTCGAACACTGTTGATGAAAATATAAATCGGGGCCAGCAGGTAGCAGTTAAGGCACTGGACTCCCATATGGCTGACCACGGTTCAAGTGTCAGATCTGGGGGTTTGCTTCCTCACTTTCCCCCTCTCCCTCTCTCTGTCTTTCTTCGCTATTCACACATGCCCTATAGCAAACTTAAAAATAACAACAATAATAAATAAACTGAGTAATTAATTTTTAAAAAAGAATGAGTGAGAAAAAAAGTTGTTATCAGACATACAAAATTAGAGATTATTTCACAGAGACAAGATATAGCATATCAGGGACCAGCAGTTACCATAATGGCTATGTCGCTGGACTCCCATGTAGTCGAGTGCGGTTCAAGTTCCTGACCCGGTGGCTTAAAACTCACGCTGGGCGTGTGTGTGTGAGTGCCCAAGATCCCAAGAGGAGAATGGAGGAGAAGGGATCGCGGTGTGGCCATCCCCCCTGGGGGGTGATTTCTCGCTTTCTGTCTCTCTGTCTCTCTCTGTCTGTCTGGCAAGCGCACGTGCCCTATGGCAAAAACCTCTCCAAAAAAAAAAAAAAAAAAAAAGATATACCATATCAAAGAACTACTTCAGTAAGAAAACTAAACCCTGAAGGGATGAGTGAGCTATCTGAAGCAATGTAAATACAAAAAGCCATAAATTATTAAGTATTAATAGGTATGGACTATGAAAATGGTAATAAAGATAACTTTGGTCCAAGGGATAAAAATAGCCAAACAAAAATACAATAGAAACTATTAAGAAACTACCATTTAACCAAATTACAAATGGATAAAACCAAACTTTTCATTCTCTCCATAAAATACAAAGCCTAGAATGTACTGAAAGATTCTAGTAAATGACCAATTCTTTTAAAAAAATTATCCCACTTCAGAAGCTATAAATATTATTTTTCATTTCTAAATAGGTTATAATTGGGCCAACCAGTGGCATGGTGGTTAAGGCAGCTGGATCCCACATGGCTGACTAAGTGGATCTAGTCCTGGACCCAGTAGCTTGAAAAACATGGGGGCCATGTGTGTACACATGTCCAAAATCCCAAAAGAAGGGAGAAATGGAGTAGAACAGATTGCAGCATGACTATACCCCCCCTAGGGGGTGCTCTCTCATTTTCTCTGTTTCTTCTGTCTCTCTCCAGTGAGTGTATGTACCCTCTGGCAAATTATAAATAAATAAATAAATAGTAAGTAAGTAAGTTACAATCCACTGGAAATTTATTTTTGAGTATGGTATGAAGTGATGGTTCAATGTATTTTTTAAAAATCAGCTATTCTTTAATATAATCATGCTCTTTTTTTATAAGCTGGTTATAAACTTACTACGAGTCATTTATATTTCTTTAAACCTGTTTACGCCAGCACTACTTGTTAATTTATTAATGTAATTTACTAATGTAATATACAAAAAGAGATTTTTTCTGAAAATATGTCCAAAACTTTGGAGGACTTGATGAAGACATGTTTAAAATTTGCCAATAAATTTGTACAGATCAGGGACCAGCAGCTGGTATAATGGCTATGTCGCTGGACTCCCATGTAGTCAACTGTGGTTTGAGTCCTGGGCCTGGTGGCTGAAACTCATGCTGGGCGCGTGTGCGTGCATGCCCAAGATCCCAAGAGGAGAATGGAGGAGAAGGGATTGCGGCGTGGTCATCACCCTTGAGGAGTGATTTCTCTCTTTCTGTTTCTCTTTCTGGTGAGTGCACATGCCCTATAGCAAAAGCTCTCAAAAAAAAAAAAAATTGTATAGATCTGATATGATCATAAAAATTTATTCAAAGCAATCATGTAACTCTGGGATTTTATTATTTTTTTTAAAAGAATTATTTTATTTAACTTTATTTATTTATTTTAATTTGACCAGAGAGGGATGGGGTGGTTGGGGGGGAGGAGTGAGAAAACAAGCCATCAGATCTAGGACTTGAACCATGGTTGGCCATGTGGGAGTCCAGTGACCTTAACTACCACACCACCTGCTGGCTCCGGATTTTAAAATGTTTAAAAAACAAAAAACAATGTGTTTTGTTTGCTGGGGCAAATATGAAAACACTACATAAACTTTTTTTTTTTTTTTGAGAGAGAGAGATATTTTTTGCTATAGGGCAGGTGCACTTGCCAGCGAGACAGAAAGCAAGAAATCACCCACCCAGGGGGCATGGCCACGCCACAGTGCTATCTCCATTCTCCTCTTGGGATCATGGGCACGCATGCACATGTGCCCAGCATGAGTTTTAGGCCGCCAAGTCTGAGACTCGAACCTCAGTTGAGTACATGGAAGTCCAGCGACATAACCATTATGCCATTTGCTGGTTCCAACACCACCTAAAATTTTGTTATTGGACTTTTTTTTTTAAATGGTAGCTGATGTATTCTGGATGTGGTTTATGTAAAAAAGAAAATGCATAACTCAAGTCAATAGGTTCAAGCTAAACCAGAAAACTTTGTCTTTCTTTTAGATAAAATTGTGCTGAATCTGAATGAAAAAGTACTTAATATAATTCAATGTTACAAATTATATACAGCAAGGATTGGCAGGTGGCATAGTGGTAAAGACGCAGACTCCCTCATGGCCAACCACAGTTTGAGTCCCAGACCTGGCCACTTACTTTCTCACTTCTCTCTCTCTCTGGTCAAATTAAAAAAATAATAATAACTTAAGTTAAATAAAAAAATTCTTTTTAAAAAGATTAAAAACAATCAATTAAAAGATATAGAAAACTATTCGAACATTTATAATGATAGAAAAATTTTTATATAACCTAGAAAGTATATAAGTGAGAAGTACCTTCATTTTTATACTCACCACTTTTTTCCATCTGCTGGATTATGGGGCCAGGAGTAGCCAAAAACTTATCATTGGCCATACTTTCTGTTTCTACAGTCTCCTCACTGGTGTGATTCATAGGGAATAAAAGCATTAAAAAAGTTAACATCAGACCTCTAGGAAGAAACTTTTATCTGATGATATATATATATTTTTTTTTTTTTGAGAGGTTTTTGCTATAGGGCGCATGCATTCGCCAGACAGACAGAGAGAGACAGAGAGGCAGAAAGTGAGAAATCACCCCCCAGGGGGATGGCCACGCTGCAATCCCTTCTCCTCTGCTCTCCTCTCGGGATTCTGGGCACGCACGCACACACGCCTAGTGTGAGTTTTAAGCCACTGGGTCTGGGACGCAAACCGCGGTCGGCTACATGCGAGTCCAGCGACATAGCCATTATGCTAACTGCTGGTACCAATATATATATCTATATCTATATATATCTATATCTATATCTATATCTATCTATATCTATATCTATATCTATATATATATATCATCAAGTCTGGGCTAACATTTAGTTTTATTTTATAGACTACAACACCCAAGACTCATGAACAATGCAAATATACATATATATACATATATATACATATATATTATATAGCCATGGCTCAAAAAAGTTAAAAAAATGTTTATATTATCAATTGATAATAGTCTTGACCTAGAGAAGTGAATTAAAAACCTCTGACTTATTAAAGAAAAGCTATAAGTTCAACTCACTAGTTCAAATATACAAAATGTAAAGCTCATCACTTCAAAATCACAAACTGGAACTTTATAACCAGTACAGAGATATAGATTAAAAATCTGTCATTTGTTTTTTAAAAGACATTTTATTAAGATTATTCTACCTAACTATATAGATGTTTGGAATACAGCTATAAAGAGAAGTATTGAATACTACCAAATGGATTAAAATGGATTTTTCACTTATAAGTTTCCTGCTTTGAACTAAAACAAAATGAACCATGCTGCCCTTAACATCATGTATAAACATTTTAAAAAGTATGTGTATAAAGCATGACACATATACCAAAAAGTATATACAATGTGTAATTTAAAATGAATTGAAAAATTAATGTCAATATACTCAGTATCCATCTGCCTTAAGATATAGAATACTACTAGTACCTGTAACCCTCTATGGAAGTTTCTCAAGTGGGTACCCTTATCTGCCCTATAGAGGTTAGTATCTTCTTAGTTTGCTTAATACTTTTTACTTGTTTTTGTTTTTGCCATAGGGCATGTGCACTCTCTGGAGACAGAGAGATAGTAAGAGGCAAAGTGAAAACTCACCCCTAAAGGGAGATGACCACACCACAATCCATTCTCCTCCTGAAATTGGACATGCATGTACATTGATGCCACATAATTTTCAAGTTACCAGGTCCAAGACTCGAACCACAGTCATCCAATGTGAGTTCAGCGCCTTAAACACCATGCTACCTGCTGGCCCTAATACTTTAACTTTTTATCTATGTGCTCTTAATTATTTCCTGTTTTTCCAAATAAATGAAATCATAGTATTTTATATATATATACACACACCATTCCACACTTTCTGATTAGTTCCCTTGAATTCAAGTCTTCATGAAAAATTTCATAAAGGTTTTACATACAATGCAAATTATCTCTTCAGAAGTTTCATCAGTGCCTATCTACATTATAAAAGTGCCTATCTTCTTTTTAAGAATTGTTTTATTTAACTTTATTTATTTTGATTTGACCAGGGGTGGGGGGGGTGAGGGAGTGAGAGAGCAAGCTGCCAGGTCTGGGACTCAAACCACAGTCGGTCATGTGGGAGTCTAGTGCCCTTAACCACAATGCCACTTGCTGGCCCCAAGTGTGTATTTTCTTATGTCTTCCTCAGTGTTACATATAACCTGTCTTTTTAAACATTGGGTCACTTTTTGTATAGAAAAATATGTCATGACTTTTCTTTTTTTGGAGAGGTTATTGCTATAGGGCGTGTGCGCTCACCAGACAGACAGAGACAGACAGAGAGACAGACAGAAAGCGAGATATCACCCCCCAGGGGGGATGGCCACACCGCGATCCCTTCTCCTCCATTCTCCTCTCGGGATCTTGGGCACGCACACACACGCGCCCAGCATGAGTTTTAAGCCACCGGGTCCGGAACGCAAACCGTGGTCGACTACGTGGGAGTCCAGCGACATAGCCATTACGCCAACTGCTGGTCCCTGTCATGACTTTTTAAAAGACTCAATATTATCTCTCTTATTTTAATGAGCCTAGTTAAAACCTGGACATAAAATACAAATATCTGGAAAGGTAACAAATAATATCTCATTTTAGTTGAATTTCTTTACTTGTGGAGTAAATATGTTTAACATATGCTTATTGGACATTTGTGTTTCTTCTTTTGTTAATTGTTAACTTATGTCCTTTACTCATTTTTCAAATTCAGGTGTTTGTCATTAATTGATGTATACAGATTTTCAAAATACTGGGTCAGCTAGTGGAGTAGTAGTTAAGGTGGCTGGATCCCACACTGCCAACTGTGTAGTTCAAGTCCCAGAACTACTGGCATGAGAACACACTAGGTGAGTATATGTACAAACCCAAAACCTCAAAGGAGGAGGAAATGGTGAGGGGATCGCAGTGTGATCATTATTTCCCATGGGGCATGCTTCCTCACTTTCCCTCTGTCTCTTACTACAACAAGCATACATGACCTCTAGCAAATTTTTAAAAATGTTATTATATATATGTAATATGTATGTGCAAATATTATTTTATTGTATTATAAAAACTTTTCCTGTTTTGTGTTTGTTTAAATATTTTACAGGAGAACAGTTTAAATTTTGTACATAACCAAATATACCATGTTCTTTACCATATTTGGCTTTGATATCATGCCATAATTTAACCAGCTCTTCTCTGTTATTGATATTTTGATTATTTCAAATTTTCCACTATTACAAATAAATAAATAAGGCTATAATAAATATTATTATACTGGGGACTAGCAGGTGGTGTGGTGGTTGAGGTGCTGGACATTCCCACATGGCAAAATCCAAATAATAGTTTGGCCCCACAGTGCAATGGGAAACAGATCCCACATGGCCTATTGTGGTTTGAGTCCTAGTCCCAGGAGCTTGAGAAACACATTGGGTACATGTTTTTGTACCCCATCCCACAGGATGAAGGAATGGAGAAGGGATTGCAGCGTGACCGTGCTCCACTGGTGAGTGCTTCCTCCCTCTCTCTCTTTGTCCCTTTCTGGCAAGTGCACACGTCCTCTGGCAAGAAGAAATAATAATAATAGTTGTTAAAGCTAGAGATTTATGTTTAGATATTGCTTGAGTGGTATTTTCATTATAACTTTTATGACTTTAACTACCATTTTAATGCTAACCACCCTCAAAATCTTTGTAGTATGGCCCTGAATTCATCACTGAGCTTTCACTATGAAAATACTTAAGTTTAAGAGGCAGTAGAAAGGTCTACAGGTACCTTAAAGTCAACAGATAAACATATCGCTCCATCCCCGAACCCCTCATGCTACATTTTTACCTTAGATGTTTTCCCTAGCACATCCTAGGCAACAAGACAGCAATGTGGGGTTTATTTTAGATCCTCCTCTCTTTCCAAGCCTCCATACCAAATCAGTCACAGATCTGTACTGATTGTATCCCTGTATCTTCCCTTTTCTATTCCTACAAATACCATCTTTTTTCAGATCTTATCATTCCTTCTACAGACTCTCATCTAAAGAAACCAATAACTCACATTTTACTGATGGAATTGGTAATTCAGGGAAGTTTGAAAAGTATCTGAAAACATTTTAAAGAAAAGATACTGTCTGAAACATCATATTTATTCTAGGAAAAAACTCAAATGTAAAAAATCTTTAAAGTTAGCTAAAATGTGCCTTTTAGAAAAGTTACTTACCTTTTAGTCTTCTTCACATATTTAAGGCCTATGGTATAATCTTCATTCAAACACATGGTATATTCAGAGATACCAAACTGCTCTAACTTAGGAGTTACACACTCACAATCATCCATCCTTAGTGCACGTGTTGGAGTTTTTAGTACTTTAGGTAGTGATTGTATGGTAGGTGAGGTTACAGTTTTAGGCTCTTCCTTATGGTTATTTACTGCATGTGGAGGGTTTGGTATAATTTGTGATACCATGTATCGCTCAAGTCCAAAATCTGAAAGTTGTGGACTACGTGGCGACTTCTCAGAAACAGAACTGCTTGGAATAAGAGGATTAGACAGATCATCCTTCACATCAGGCTTTTGAAAATTCTCACACTTGGCCAACTCTGGGGTAGAAGCAATGACTTCTTGCTCATTTACTAGGAAGAAAAAAATCAGAGGTAAAATTCTTGTCAACTATCAACATAGACAATCTTGTGTTTACTCAAACAACATAAAATAGCTTCATATGAAATTTCTCCCATCACGTGACCGTGCTCCACTGGTGAGTGCTTCCTCCCTCTCTCTCTTTGTCCCTTTCTGGCAAGTGCACACGTCCTCTGGCAAGAAGAAATAATAATAATAGTTGTTAAAGCTAGAGATTTATGTTTAGATATTGCTTGAGTGGTATTTTCATTATAACTTTTATGACTTTAACTACCATTTTAATGCTAACCACCCTCAAAATCTTTGTAGTATGGCCCTGAATTCATCACTGAGCTTTCACTATGAAAATACTTAAGTTTAAGAGGCAGTAGAAAGGTCTACAGGTACCTTAAAGTCAACAGATAAACATATCGCTCCATCCCCGAACCCCTCATGCTACATTTTTACCTTAGATGTTTTCCCTAGCACATCCTAGGCAACAAGACAGCAATGTGGGGTTTATTTTAGATCCTCCTCTCTTTCCAAGCCTCCATACCAAATCAGTCACAGATCTGTACTGATTGTATCCCTGTATCTTCCCTTTTCTATTCCTACAAATACCATCTTTTTTCAGATCTTATCATTCCTTCTACAGACTCTCATCTAAAGAAACCAATAACTCACATTTTACTGATGGAATTGGTAATTCAGGGAAGTTTGAAAAGTATCTGAAAACATTTTAAAGAAAAGATACTGTCTGAAACATCATATTTATTCTAGGAAAAAACTCAAATGTAAAAAATCTTTAAAGTTAGCTAAAATGTGCCTTTTAGAAAAGTTACTTACCTTTTAGTCTTCTTCACATATTTAAGGCCTATGGTATAATCTTCATTCAAACACATGGTATATTCAGAGATACCAAACTGCTCTAACTTAGGAGTTACACACTCACAATCATCCATCCTTAGTGCACGTGTTGGAGTTTTTAGTACTTTAGGTAGTGATTGTATGGTAGGTGAGGTTACAGTTTTAGGCTCTTCCTTATGGTTATTTACTGCATGTGGAGGGTTTGGTATAATTTGTGATACCATGTATCGCTCAAGTCCAAAATCTGAAAGTTGTGGACTACGTGGCGACTTCTCAGAAACAGAACTGCTTGGAATAAGAGGATTAGACAGATCATCCTTCACATCAGGCTTTTGAAAATTCTCACACTTGGCCAACTCTGGGGTAGAAGCAATGACTTCTTGCTCATTTACTAGGAAGAAAAAAATCAGAGGTAAAATTCTTGTCAACTATCAACATAGACAATCTTGTGTTTACTCAAACAACATAAAATAGCTTCATATGAAATTTCTCCCATCAGCAAAAGTTTTAATTCTTTAAATTTCATTTCAAGTCCTTCCAGTAAATTTTGGTCATCTTCCTCTTGTCTGCCCATATCCCATCTTTATGATACAATAGAGAAGGAAAGCAGACTACAGTATTAAAAGATGAAAAACTGACACTCCCAAGTTACAGTCCAATTTCCTTACTTCTCCAGTTACTGTGACTTACCACTCTTAATATTTTCTGAAACTATTCTATCATTTTATGACATTAATTACAGTGTAGCATGAACTATTCTAGACTTAACATAAAATATAATATTATTTAAGAGTTTTAACTTCTAGATGCCTAAATAAAAAGTTATCTGTATAAAAATTAATTTTTATCCTAGGTCAGACTGGAATGCCTATTATTAAAAGCTAAGAGAAATAATAGGAGACCACTTGAAAGATACATAGTTTCTCAACCATTAATAGGTTTTATACTTTGATATCATGGTGTTTTAGAGACACTTTGGAGACCCTCTGATTCACTGAGTCCTGTTTTGGCATTGCCCTTTCTGTTAATTCTGAGGAATGATACAAAAGTTGCAAAAACCCATTACTGAATTTATTACAGGGCTATCACTGATGAGATTAATAAAACAAAATCATCACCATCATCACAACTCCACAGGAAGATATTATCCCTGTTTCACAATTGAGGAAAAAGTGATTTCGAGAAATTATCCAAAGGTCACACACCTAATAACTGGAGAAGCAGTATTTGAATCCATAGTTCTTTCACACCAAAGTCAGCTGAATTCTTTCTATTATCCCATGTGGACTACTCAATATACCTTCTACACATGCCCTCAATATTTGTTAAATTTAATTAATGTCTTATTTATGTACAAAGATCAATTTCATAATAAAGACACTGATGTATGCTGAAAATATAGTCATTCAGTGGTCTGGGCATAACAATAACAACAGTGGTTAACACAGTGATTGACATGCCATGCACTGCTCTAAGCAAATTAATTTAATCCTTATACAAACTCATAAGGTAGATATATAAAGTATGATCACTTTGCAAATGAAAAACTAAGTTACAAGCTTAAGTAACTTACTGAAGACAATATAGCTATTTTGTTTGTTGGATTTTTTACATTTTTTGTTTATGCTATAGGGCACTTATGCTGGTCAAAGAGAGACAGAGAGAGAGAAAATGAGAAATCACTCCTGGGGGAATGGCCGCACCACAATCCTTTCTCTTCCATACTCCTCCTGGGAATTTGGGCACATGTGTACACACACCCAGCATGATTTTCAAGCCATCAGATCTGAGTCTTGAACCACTTCAGCCACGTGGGAGTCCAGTGCCTTAACCACTATATCCATGGCTGGCCCCCACTTGCGTCTTTTTAAACAGGGTCTGGGTATATTGCCCAGGCCAGCCTTAAGCTTGTGATCATCATGGTTCAGCCCCCCACAGTTGCTAGGACTTAGGCACATAATATTGCTGTGCCCAGTCTTGGCTCCAAATTCTAAACCACTATGGCATCCTACCTTTAATTAAAATGTTAGAGCTGAAAAAGGACTTTGTCAATTCATACAGATAAGAGAGTCCTAATCTGAAAACTCTAAATGCGAAATGCTCCAAAATCTATAACTTTTTCTTTTCTTGTTTTGAGATTTTGCTATAGGGGGTGAATGTCTGCCAGAGAGATATAGAGACACAGAGAGGAAAAAGTAAGAAATCACTCCCCAGGGGCAAGGCCACGTTGTAATCCCTTCTTCTCCAGTCTCCTCTTAGAATTTTGGGAGCACGTGTGCATGTGCACACACATACATATACGCATGCCTGGTGAGATTTTTAAGCTGCTGGGTTTGGGACTTGACTGCGCAGTTGACCACATAGGTCAACACCACCTACTAGCCCCTAAAATCTAGAACTTTTTGAGCACTGATGTGACAGCATAGTGGGAAATTCCATACTTGACCTCGCGGGATGAAATGCAATGCAAACACTGCAATACAAAAATATTATTAAAGTTCCCTTCACACTATGTGTAGTGTATATAAAACATCAATGAATTTTGTGTTTAGACTTGGAACCCATCCCAAGATTACCTCATTATGTATATTCAAATATTTATAAAATCTGAAAAAAAACCCAAACTCTGAAACATTTCTGACCCCAAGCATTTCAGATAAGGGCTACTCAACTTGTATAGCCAAAAACTCTCAGTCTACATAAGAGGGCTCAGAACAAGTAAAACAAAATAGCATGCCTTGAGGTCTCTCAGCTATTTGTTGGCAAAGCTGACAAGAAACGATATATCCTAAGTCATGTCCTTTTATCTTATACTTTTTCATTTAAAGACTTCAAAGAACTGTTTCATCTAGCATTGTGTTCTCACCTAGCATTTTGGAAAGAAGGGCAAGAACTGTACTGATATCATACCACTGATGAGCACAGCACCCAGCACAGTGAGTGCTGAATAGATGTTAACCAAATGACAGTCACAGAATGTCAAAGAATAAAAATCATGGCCAAGACTATCATGGCTGTCTTCTCTCTTTAATACTAAAATAAATGCTATAAAATGAAAGTTATTCAAACCTGAATTTATCTTGGCACGTGGATTATATCCATACTTCTCGAAAAACTCTCTTATTTTCATGATATCTGTTGAACTTTTTTTCATCATTACTTTCGCTGCCTTAATGAAACCAATGCTTTCTTGACTTTCCAATCTTGCTTTATCAAGAAGAATATTGACATCACCCTTTTATGAGGAAATAGAGTATATTAGAGTTTTTCTAACTTCTGATTGAGTGTATTTAGGTTAAAAAAATTAGTCATTACAGAAAAATAATAAATTAATTTTGTAAGAATGATACCTTTAGAGTCCAAACTTCTGAATAAAGGTCATGCAAAATTCTCACTGGATAATCTTCAACATCTTTAATATGCATATTGAAAATGAAAAAGTTCAATATATACAAGGAAAAGAAGGAAGAAAAAATTAAAAATCAGTATAGTTTCTTAGAATTTGAAAGCTCTTTAGATATTTATGATTTATATCCTGCAAATTGCTAAGAAAAGTGTTAAGGCCATTCTTTAAACTTTTATTGAGCTATAATATGCATACAGAAAAATAAACACACCATAATTATATAGTTTGATGAACTTCAGAGTGAACCTACCTGTATAAATAGCCTTCAGAAGAAATGGGGAGAGAGAAAGAGAGGGATGGAAGGAAGAAAACATTACTAGAACTCTGGAAACCATCTTGCACAACCCCCAAGAATAACCATTACTCTGATTTCTAACCCCATGAAGTTCTTGCTTATTCATGAACCTTAATTTACTTATAAAGTACGCACTCTTCTGTGGTTGTCTTCTTTCATTCAACATTCTTTGTGACATTCTCCCAATACTCATCTATCATCTATGTTCATTGTTATATAGTATTTCACGGTGTGCAGTCAAACCTATCTATCGATTCTATTGTTGATGGACTTTCAATTTTATTTAGTTTGAGACTACTATAAATACTCTTGCTTGGAATTTTCTAGAGCATGTCTTTGGTGCCAATATATTTACATTTCTGTATGCTGAAAACCTAGAAAAAGTGCTGGGTTATAGGTTATAAATATATTCGACTATAGTAGATATCTCCAAACAATTTTTCCATGTGGTTGTTACAGTTACACTCCACTAGCAGTGCACGAGCATTCCATTTATTATACACCTTTGCAAATCCTTGGTATTTTTCTCTTTTTCATTTTAGTTATCCTGGTGGATATAAAATTATACTGCTTTGGGACTTAATTTCTATTTCCTTGATGACTAATGAAGTTGATTTTTTTTTCACATATGTAATGGCCTTTGGAAGATAATTTCTTTTGAAATGTCAATTTAAGACGTTTTCATTTTTCATCTGCATTCATTGCCTTTTCCCCTTTAATCTGTAGGAACTCTATAGTTTGGATACAAATCTTTTGTTAGACATAAGTACTACAATATCTTCTTCCTCTCTACAGTCTGCCTTTCCATTCTAATTTTGAGTTTCTCTACCTTAATGTAGTCCCTACTTATTATTTTTTCTTCTATGACGAGCACTTTCTGTTTCCTATTTTTAAAAACTATGTCAATGTTTTCTTCTAAAAGCTTTATAGTTTTATGTTTTGCAATTAGAGCTACAATAGTTTAAAAGTGATTTTTTTGGTATGGTCTGAGGTAAGGATCAAGATCCATTCTTCTTTTCTCTATGGATCTCCAACTGCCTTGGCATCACTTACTGAAAAAAAAAATCCCATACCAAATTTACTATCACCTTTGTCATTAATTGGTCATATACACGACATAAAAATAGTTTTAGGGCCAGCAGGTGGCATGGTGGTTAAGGCTCTGTATCATGGTCGACTGCGGTTTGAATTCCAAACCTGAAGGCTTAAAAATCACTCCAGGCACACATGTATGCATGCCCAAAATCCCAGGACGGGAATGAAGGAGAACGGTTTGCAGTGTGGCCATTCCCCTGGGAAAGATTTCTCATTTTCCCTCTCACTGTCTATCTGCTCCTCTTGGGGAGGCATATGCATCCTATGGCATAAACAAAACAAAAATCACCCAACAACACGCACATCAGGCACATGTGCACAGGTGCCCAAAATCCTGACAGGAGAGTGTAGGAATAGGGACTGTAGTATGGCCATCCCCACTGGGGGCTGATTTCTCATTTTCACTCTCTCTGTGTCTCTCTCTCCAGTGGTGTACATGCTCAACAGGAAAAAAAAAAGGAAAGAAAAGAAAAGTTTTTAAAAGGATTATACTTCTCTTTTCCAGGACACTTCTTTGAAGATCTCCCTCTCCTTTCATCTGTTAAAAGTTCAAGTTTCACTAGGGAAACGCAAATCAAAATCATGATGAGGGCTGGCTCTGTAGCCTAATGGTTAAAGTGAGCTGGATCCTATCTGGGAAAAACCTACCAGGTGCATGTACATGTGTGCTCCAAATCCCAAGAGGATGGAGAAATGGAGGAAAAGGGATTGTGGGGTAACTATATCCCACTGAGGGATACTTTCTCCCTCTCCTGCCTCTCTGGCAGACCCGTGTGCCCTCCAGCAATTGAAAAAAATATATAAACAAGCAGTGAAATTCCGCTTCATACCCATCAGAATAACGATCATCAATACTAAATGATGGATGGTGAGGATGTGGAGAAACTAAAACCCTCGATAATTGCTGATGTAGTCACTTTAGAAAACAATTAAACATAGAGTAACTATTTTACCCAGCAATTCCACCTCTAAGAATATATCCGAGGAACTGAAAACAGGTTCACATAAAAAGTTACATATGGGACCAGCAGATGGCATAATGGCTAGGTCACTGGACTTACTAGAATCCCACGTGGTCAATCACAGTTTGAGTCCCAGATCTGGCAGCTTGAAACTCATGCTAGGCACATGTACGTGCGTGCCCAGAATTCTGGGCAACGTGAGCATCCCCTTGGGGGGTGATTTCTTTCTTTCTGGCGAGTGCACATGCCCTATAACAAAAATCTCTCCTAAAAAAAAATGTTACATATGGGGGCCAGCAAGTGGCATGGTAGTTAAGGCACTAGACTCCTACATGGCCAACTGCAGTTTGAGTCCTGGATCAGGCGGCTTGCTTTCTCACTTTCTGGTGAGTACATGTGCCCTACAGCAAATTTAACAAATAATAATAAAAAATAAAATTAAATAATTATTTTTAAAAAGTTGCATATGAATGTTACTACAGCATTAGTTATTGTAGCCAAAAATATAAACAACACAAGTGTCCATTAACTGATCAACAGACCAACAAAATGTGGTGTAGCCATAAACTATTACTCAGTGGAGCCAGCAGGTGGTGTAGTGGTTAAGGCATGGGACTCCCACATGGCTGGCTGTGGTTCAAGCACTGACTGGGTGGCTTGAAACTCATGCCAGGCATGTGTGCGTGCATGCCCAAATCCCAAGAAGAGAATGCCTCCAGGGGGGTGATTTCTTGCTTTCTCTCTGTTCTTCTCTCTGTATTTGGCAAGCACCCTACAGTGAAAATCTAAAATATTTTTAAAAGTTATTTAACAATAAATAGAATGAACTACTGATACATGCTACAATGTGGATAAATTATAAAACATTATACTATGTGAAATATGTTAACCACAAAAGACTACCTAGCATATGATTCCATTGATACGAAATACATAAGCAAATTTAGACACAAAAATAAGATTAGTGGGTGTCTAAAGTTGGTGGGGTGAGGGTGAGGTTATGAGGAATGACTATTAAAAGACACCGAGTTTTCCTTAAGGGGTGATGAAACAAACTTTTTGTTTCCATGGTTACACTACTCTGAATATAACAAAACCCACTGAATTATATCTTTAAAGAGCGAATTTTATGGTGAGTGAATTATATTTCAAAGATGTTTAAATGTCAACCAGCTTAATGATTCATTACTGTGATCATAAAGGTGAAATTGTTTGTGATCACCTTCTCTACTTACAATTTCATATTTTCTATAATACATATAAGCCAGTAATTGAATTATTTTCACTTTTTTGTAACCCCCCCCATCCCCCAATGCAGTTTGTGCAGAAATAACTTGTTGCTAAGAAGATAAATTAGCACAAACTTCGTGGAAAGTAATTCAGCATATAATCAAGAATCCAAAAATGTTAGGACCAGCAGTTGTCATAATAGCTATGTGGCTGGACTCCTATGTACTTGACCACGGTTCAAGTCCTGAAATCACGCCAGGTGCATGTGCATGCGTGCCCAAGATCTCAAGAGGAGAGTAGAGAAGGGACTGCAGCATGGCCATCCCCCCTAGGGAGTGATTTCTCACATGCCCTATAGCAAAAACCTCTTCTTGCTCAAACCCCAAAGCAAAAAACCTCTAAAAAAAAAAAAAAAAAAAAAGAATTCAAATGTTAATGAAATTTTGTATCCACTATAGTACTATCTCAATTACATGAACAAACTCAAACAAAACCAAAAGCCCTAAAATAAGAGTTTTGGAAAAGCCACCTAATAGTAGTAATAGTGTCTTCTGACGGTGGGATCATAAAGAATATTCTTTTTTTCTTCTACTTTTCCATATCACAAATTTCCTACAATGTACATATATTGTTTTTACAAAGACACACAGACAGGGACCAGCAGTTAGCGTAATGGCTATGTCGCTGGACTCCCGTGTAGTCGAATATAGTTCGCATCCCGGTGGCTGTGGCTTAAACTCATGCTGGGCACGTGTGCGTGTGTTCCCAAGATCCCGAGAGGAGAATGGAGGACAAGGGATTGCAGCGTGGCCATACCCATGAGGGGTGATTTCTTGCTTTCTGTCTCTATGTCTCTCTCTGTCTGGGGAGCGCATGCGCCCTATAGCAAAAAACTCTCAAAAAAATCTCAAAAAAAAAAAAATTTATTTACTGCCAACTGTGGAACATTTGAGTGACACGAAAGAACAATGCTGAATTGCTGCATTCTAAAAGAAATTGTTTAATTTTGTTTATTTATTTTTTTTTACTTATCTTTTTGTTGTTGTTGTTTAGATTTTTGCTATAATGTGCTCATGGGAAAGAAACACAAGAGACAGCAAGTAAGAAATGACCCGTCATGGGGGATGGCCATGCTGCAATCCTTTTTCTTCCATTCTCCTGGGATTTTGGGCACCGACGCACAAGCGACGGGGGTGTTCAAGCCTTGGGGTCTGGGAATCGAACAGTGCTCAATCATGTGGGAGTCCAGAGCCTTAACCACTATGCCATCTGCCACCCACCCACCCCCTTATTTTATTTTTTATTTTTGCCACAGGGCGCCAGTACTGGTGGGAAACAGAGAGAGGGAAATCGAGAAATCCTGCCTCGGCCCCCATGGCCACACCGCAGTCCCTTCTCCGTAGTCCTCTGGGTATTTTGGGCATCTGCGCACACATACCCGGTGTGATATTCAAGCCCCCGCCTCCGCCTCCGCCTCAGGACTCCAACCACAGTGTGGGCCAGGTGGGAATCCAGCACCTTAACCACTGCGCCAACTGCTGGCCATAAACTTATTTTGTTTTATTGACAAGCACACACTATCTGTTACTTGAAAGCATGTGAGTATAAATTGGTGTATGTATCATTAACTCAATCTGTCCTCTTAGACTGTTATTCATAATTACCGCTCCCTCTCCTCCCAACAGAATAATAGTGCTACTTTCATTATTTAAGGAGATCATTGTGGTCCTACACGGAACTAAAAAGAGATACAAAGACACACTTGAGGGGGTCCTAAAAAGAAATCATAAAAGGGTGGCACTTGGAACCCCCAGGGCTAAGTTAACGACGAGCCTATATCATTTCGACACGCGCAACATCCCCTCCTCGGATCCCTCGAGGCACTTTTGGCCACTGTCAATAAAGGTCTGAGAGCCCGCCCATTTTCTTTTCCCGACGCCCTTCCAGACCCTGGCGCGCCGGTAGCCGCAGAGCACCCCCCGCGCAGCGGAGCACCCCCAGCGCAGCGGACCGCCCGCCGCACTCACCGCTGTCCTCTCCGTCCAGCGCTCGCTGCAGCCGGCCCGTCTCGCGGTCTAGAGTGCTGGCCAGAGATCGCAGCTTCCCGCAGAAACTCCGGATTGGATCCATGATTGAGAACAGCTGAGCAGATACCAGACGCGAACAGACGCCACCTCAATGAACCCGGTACCCGCCACTCGTTTGAATCTCCGCGCCGCAGGCGTCCTGGTTCCGCGCAGGCGCAGAAGTCCTCTTGTGCGAGACGAGAGTTGAAGTCTCGCGCGAAAACTCCAGGAAAACCGGCGAGGTGGTTGCACTTCCGCCATCGCTTCAGAGGGTTGCTGGCTGGACGCCGACACTCAAGGGGCTTTGTTGGTGAGTGGCTGCGTGCATTCCGTGCTTCGAAGGGACTCCTTCACCTGTCGGCCTTAACCGAGCTGTCTGCTTCCTTGGGTTGCGGAGGATGGAGGGCCGTTCTGGGGGAAGCCGGGCAGAGTAGGGCATGTGGCGTCTGGGCCGGCCTAGTGCGCCGGCAGCTCGCCCCCGGCCTTCCAAGTAGCGGTTTGCGTCTCCGACGTCTGTGCCCTCTCCTCGGCAGGCATCATGTTCCTGACCGCGCTCCTCCTGCGCAACCGCATTCCCGGCAGGCAGTTGATCGGGAAGCATCGGCGGCCGCGCTTCGTGTCTTCGCAGGCGAAGCAGAACATGATCCGTCGCCTGGAGATCGAAGCAGAAAACCACTACTGGCTGAGCATGCCATACCTGACCGAGGAGCAGGAGTACGGCCACGCCGCGGCGCGCAGGGCAGAGGCCTTCGAGGCCATCAAGGCGGCCAGCACTTCCAAGTTCCCTCCGCATAGATTTGCTGTAGACCAGCTCAGCCATCTCAATGTCTCTAAGAAATGGTCCTAACCCTGTGGTTTGGTTTAATGGATCACTGGGCCGCCCTGTCCTTACCTGCCCTGGAACTAAAAAACTGGAGCTTCCAAAACAGTGTGAGCTTTTGCTCATAGTCTTATTAAAACAAACACGAACATAGTGATGTGCATTTAACTCTCTAATCTTAAAAGTATAGTTGTCTAAACTTTCTTTAGCTGGATAGACGGTATCAGAGATTTCCTGTGCCATAAATGCTGCATAATTATAAACTTGCAGTAAAGCCACAAATTATAATTTGGGGTCCATGCTTGCGTCAACAGTTGAGATACTTGGGGAGTTTGATCGTGCAATGTCAATTTTGCTTGTCTTCTGTCAATAATTGCCTACATTTAAATGGAGGAGCCAGCTGGTGTCGTGGTTAAGGCCGCTGGATTCGACATAGCTGACTCTGCCCTTTTGAGTCCTGGACCCAGCTACTAGAACAACATACTAGGTGCGTGTGTTTGGGTGCCCAAAATCCCTGGAGGAAAAAGGACTGCCACCCTCCTCCCCATGTGTTGTCTCACCCCCCTCTCCTGTAAGTACATGTTCCTTACAGCAGAATGTTTTTTAAAATTAAAAAAAGAAAAGTGGAAACATGACCATTTTAAGTATACCCCTAAAAACATTTTCTTTTGGTATTTGACTACAAAAAATGGACATTTAAATTAATAAAGAGTATTTATCAGAACTGGTACAAGGTGTATTTACTTTTTTTTAATAATAACGTGCAACTCAGTTCTTGATATTTAAAATAACCTTTTTCTGAATATAATAAAAATAATCAAATACTGAGGCCAGCAGATGACATAGGGGTTAAGATGCTGGATTCCCACGTGGTCACCCATGAGTTAAGCCCTGGACCCAGTGGCTTGATACTCATACTGGGCGCATGTCTGTGCATGTCCAAAATCCTGAAAGAATTTGAGAGGGGACTGTGGAATGGCCATCCCTCGTGGGGGGATGAGTTCTCACTTTCTGTCTGTCTCTCTCTGGTGAGTACATGGGCCCTATAGTGAAAATCTATTTTATATATATATATATATGGCACATATGTTACATATATATATTACATATATATGTAAAGTACTTTTGTTAACAAATATAGCACCCTATACAATTGTGACTTTTACACATGAAGCACTTGTCTAAAATCACATCCAGTAATGAGAAGAAGAACTTGGATTTGAACTATGGTATAATACAGAAATCTTTATTAACATGTTTAGTAGAAATTCTACAAAATACTGGGGGACCAGCAGGTGGCATGGTGATTAAGGTGCTGGCATACTCACATGGCCTACCATAGTTTGAGTCCTGGATCTGGTGGCTGGCTTTCTCACTTTCCTTCTTTCTGTGTGTCTGTCTTTCTCTGGTCAAGTTAAGATAAATGAATGAGTAAATTTAAAAATTAAATAAAAATAATGTTTTTAAATTCTATAAAATACATAGATGGGAAAGAGATCCTATTACCCATTAATAATTTTCCATTAATGAAATAGTCTTCATTGATATATAGTGGTACCCCATCTAGTTTTGCTTTCCACAATTTGTTACCCATGGTCCAAAACTATTGTTTGGAAAATTCCAGACATAATTTATAACCTTTTAATTGTGTTCTGTTCCCAGTAGCAGGAGGTCTTGGTTGTCCTATCCTAAATATATCACCCCTTTGTCCAGTATAGCCATGTTGTATATGCTACCCACCTGTCAGTTGCTTATCTGTGTCAGTTAATCAGATAATCTATTTCTGGTCTCCCTGTATTGTTCAAGAAACCTGAATTTTACTTCATAATAGCCCCAAAGTACAAGAGTAGCGATACTGGCATATTGTTATAACTCTTCTATTTTTTTGTTTTTTAGTTTCAGAGAATGCATACATTCACCAGAGAGACAGAGCAAGGAGAAAGCACTACCACCACCCCCCAACTAGGTTGTGGTCATGCCACAGTTCCTTCTTCATTTTGCTATCCTGTAGGGATTTGAGGTGTGCACATGTGTGCCTAACATGTTTCTCAAGCTTTGGGGACCAGGATTTTTTTGGGGGGAGGGGAGAGGTTTTTGCTACAGGGCACGTATGCTCACCAGAAAGACAGAAAGCGAGAAATCACCCCCCAGGGGGATGGCCACGTTGCAATCACTCCTCATCCATTTTCCTCTAGGGATCTTGGGCATGCACGCACACGTACCCGGTGTGAGTTTAAACCACTGGGTCTGGGACTCAAACCTCAGTCACCTACATGGGAGTCCAGCGACATAGTCATTACACCAACTGCTGGGGACCAGGATTTTAACTGTGCTTTCAGCCTTGTGGTATCTGGCTTCCCATAACCACCATGCTACAGAGCTGGCCCTATTATTAGTTGTTAATATTTTACTGTGACTAATTTGTAAATTAAAACTTCACCATAGTTATGTTTGTATAGGAAAAACAAACATAGTGTTCAATATTATCTGCAGTTTTAGGCATTTGCTGGAGAATCTTGAAACGTATCATCCTTTTCTTTTATAATGAATTTTTTGAAACTGTATCGAGATTAAAAGTGAATAGCATTTAGAGCTGATAGCTCTAACATTTAAATATTCTGTTCGTGGCATGGTGGTTAAGAGAGCTGGATCTCACATGGGTGAGTGCAACGTTCAAGTCCCAGGCCTGGTGGCTTGGAAAATAGGCTGTGTGTGTCTGTGTCCAAAATCCTGAGGAGAATGGAAAAGGGATTGTGGTATGGTCATTCTCTCAGGGGAGTGATTTCTCACTCCCCCCCACCCACCCCCCACCCCTCGCCTTTGGCAAGCACACACTCTATAGCAAAAACATGTAAAAAAAAAAATCTGATGCCAAATTGCTTGAAAATAGTACAAACTAATGTATAAGAATGCCAGCCTCGGCAGAGAAGCGGTCTAAGCCTGGAAGCCCTACGTGTCCTGGTTGTCATATTGTAACACCATGAGCGCAATCAGCACTGTGTATCACCTGTCAGCATCTACATTCTCTCCTGATGGAAGAGATTTTCAAGTTGAATATGTTATGAAGGCTGTGGAAAATAGTAGTACTGCCACTGGAATCAGATGTAAAGATGGTGTCTTCAGGGTAGAAAAATTAGTCCTTTCTAAACTCTGAAGAAGGTTCCAGTAAATGCCTTTTTTAATGTTGATCGGCGTGTTAGAATGGCAGTTGCAGGTTTGTTGGCAGATGCTCATTCTTTAGCAGACATAGCAAGAGAAAAAGCTTCCAACTTTAGATCTAACTTTGGCTGTAAACATTCCACTGAAACATTTTGCAGACAGAGTGGCCATGTATGTACATGCGTATACACTCTACAGTGCTGTTAGACCCTTTGGTTGCAGTTTCATGTTAGGGTCTTACAGTGTGAATGATGGTGCACAACTCTATATGATTGACCCATCAGGTGTTTATACGGTTATTGGGACTGTGCCATTGCCAAAGCCAGGCAAGCTGCAGAGACAGAAATAGAAAAGCTTCAGATGAAAAAAAAAATGACCTGCCTTGATGTTGTTAAAGAAATTGCAAAAATAATTTAGATAGTACATGATGAAGTTTAGGATAAAGCTTTTGAACTAGAGCTCAGCTGGGTTGGTGAATTAACTAAAGGAAGGCATGAAATTGTTCCCAAAGACATACAAGAAGCAGAAAAATATGCTAAGGAATCTCTGAAGGAAGAAGAGGAATCAGATGATGATAATATGTAATGTTTACTTCAGCATCTATTCTGTTTTCAATTGCTACTGCAGTCCCATGTTACTATTTAGCCCATGGATTATATGTACCTACTGACCAATTTTCATTAAATTTTTGTTGTATAACAACAAAAAAGAATGCCAACCTCATTTGCTAGCATTGAATATTCTTATTAACAAAAATACTGTATTTTGTTAATTATATGAATCACATTCTAATGCCTGCTATTAGGGTTTATAGGCTATGGTAGAGGCATGTTGATTTTCTTATTAACTTACTGCTCCTCACAAAGTACCTGACACATAGTAGTCAATCCATAGTTGAATGTTTAACCATGCTAATTCTCTTACTAATACGTCATTTTCTTACTGGTAAATAAATACTTGTTGAATGTTCACAGAAATGTCTCTGGTGCATATGGCAATTTAATACTGAACTTTCATTTTCATAACTGGAAATAGTGACTGCTGATACTGTTATGAGAAAGGTGAAGGAAGGTGGCTTAGGAGATCTGTTTAAAACTGCAGCTACTAGGGTCAGCAGATGGGCTGGTGGTCAAGGGTGCTGGACTTCCACATGGCTGAGTGCAGTTCGAGTCCCAGACCAGGCGGCTTGAAAATCACACTAGACGTGAGTGCACGTGTGACTAAAAATCCTGAGAGAACAGGGAAGGTTTGTGGCATGGCTGTTCTTCCCTAGCTCCATGACTTCTTACTTTCTCTCTGTCTCTCCCTGTAAGTGCATGTGCCCTGTGGCAAAAAGCCTAACAAAAAAAGAAGTGGCTACTGGGCCAGTAGGTGGCACTGTGGTTGGGGGCACTGAACTCCCATGTGGTTGACTGCAGTTCAAGTCCTGGACCCAGCAGCTTGAAATTCACACTGGGTGTGTGTGCTTAAAATTCCAAGAAGAGAATAGAAGAGAAGGAAGGGATTGCAATGTGGCCATCCCCCCAGGGGTTGATTTCTCACTTTCTCTCTCTCTCTCCAGCCACCACAAGCATGTACTACTCCCCATAGCAAGTTTCTCAAAAACGAAACTGCTACTGTAATACTTCTATTGCTCTGATCTGCACATGAATTGAAAACCTTATTCTTTTAAATGCACTTGTGTGTACAGTTCTATTTATATTTGGGATGTGTAGAATCATGTAACTACCACAATCAAGATATAGAATTGTTCTATCACCCCAGGGCTCCCTCATGTATACTATGATCTTCAACCCCTGACATCCATCCACCTTGATCTCCAGAATTCTGTTTATAAGAAAGTTACACTGGGACCAGCAGTTAGCGTAATGGCTATGTCGCTGGACTCCCACGTAGTTGACCACGGTTCACGTCCCGGACCCAGTGGCTTAAACTCACGCCAGGCACAGGTGCGTGCGTGCCCAAGATCCCGAGAGGAGAATAGAGGAGAAGGGATTGCGGCGTGGCCATCCCCTCTGGGGGGTGATTTCTCGCTTTCTGTCTCTCTGTCTCTGTCTGGCGAGCGCACACGCCCTATAGCGGAAAAAAAAGAGTTACATTAATGAACTAATTTAAATTGGCTTTTTTCACTCAGCATATTTCCCATGAGTTGCTGAATTTGTCAGTGGTTGGAATTTGGTTTTATTGACTCAATGTATCACAGACCTTTGCTGTCAGTCTATATAGATCTAGCTTATTTTTCTTAAAAGATGCGTGGTGTTCGCCGGGCGCGTGTGCGTGCGTGCCCAAGATCCCGAGAGGAGAATGGAGGAGAAGGGATTGCGGTGTGACCATCCCCCCTGGAGGGTGATTTCTCGCTTTCTGTCTCTATGTCTCTTTCTGTCTGTCTGGCGAACGCACGCGCCCTACAGTGAAAATCTCTAAAAAAAAAAAAAAAAAAAAAAGATGCGTGGTGTTACATGGAATGGATTTATTCACTAACATCTTTTAATTATGAACATTTAATTTGTTTCTAGTTTTTCTTTATTCCAACCGCAATGATTATTGTCATGCATATCTTTATAAAGAT